AACTGCAGTACTCATTATTTGCTGGGACTGATGAGGGGTCAAACTGAAGCCCCCCGCCCCACATCAAAGCTTCAGCAACACTTACGGTGCGTTCAGGTGCTCCTTGTCAACTGGTGAAGTCAAAATGCATTCTGCAGAGGTGAGCTCAGTGCCGACTCTCTGAGGGGACTCTGAGCAGAGCTGCAGCCTCTCACTGCTGAACGCTTTGAGTTGTTCTTTATTAGCTTGAACTGAATACTTTTAAATTGTCAGCCAATTAGGTGTTTTATTCTATTTCATGTGGTTTTATAGAAAGAATAAATAGTTGGTTGCAGCCCAGGTTCATATTTTCCATCACTTAGTTTTGTACAGTTTGCTACAGGTGGCTAACGGGGTGAAGGTTATACTAACACAAATAAGGAATAACAAACTAAATGAATTGGTAACCTCTGGCAGGAGCCATAGGGAGAGAGTAGATCCCAGAGAGAGATAAAGGGAGAGAGTAGATCCCAGAGAGAGATAAAGGGAGAGAGTAGATCCCAGAGAGAGATAAAGGGAGAGAGTAGATCACAGAGAGAGATAAAGGGAGAGAGTAGATCCCAGAGAGAGATAAAGAGAGAGAGTAGATCCCAGAGAGAGATAAAGAGAGAGTAGATCACAGAGAGAGATAAAGAGAGAGAGTAGATCACAGAGAGAGATAAAGAGAGAGTAGATCACAGAGAGAGATAAAGAGAGAGAGTAGATCACAGAGAGAGATAAAGAGAGAGTAGATCACACAGAGAGAGATAAAGGGAGAGAGTAGATCACAGAGAGAGATAAAGAGAGAGTAGATCACAGAGAGAGATAAAGAGAGAGAGTAGATCACAGAGAGAGATAAAGAGAGAGTAGATCACAGAGAGAGATAAAGGGAGAGAGTAGATCACAGAGAGAGATAAAGAGAGAGTAGATCACAGAGAGAGATAAAGAGAGAGAGTAGATCACACAGAGAGAGATAAAGGGAGAGAGTAGATCACAGAGAGAGATGGCGTCACCTTAACGTCAACAACTCAACACAACGTTGACAACATGACTTTAGATCATTGTATCCTCCTCTGCATGTCCAGCAGCATTTGATCTGATTCTCACGCAGAACTACTTCAGAGATCACTCATGGTTTTAAATCTACTTGTTATCCAACGTCTGCCCCTTCAAATGTCTTAAAAAGCACATATCTACTGCAGGGAAATCCCAAATGCTTGTGGGGACACCTGAACCCCCCTAGCAGGAGGATTCAAGGACCTCCGTATTTATAAAATCCTGCGTACGGCCATGGTTCAGGGTGTAAATGATGGATGCTTCATTCAATGACTTCCCTTTACTCAAGTTGACCAGGATCACCTGAACGTGCATCAATACGCTGCTCCTGCCCCCCCACAGTCTGATAATGTTGGCTACAGTGGACTCAGACTTCACAGTCCCCCCCCCACCCAGCTGAAGTGTTGCTTCACCCTGCTCTCTCTCTCTGCTGGTCCCAGGTCTGCTGTACAGACTCTGCCTTGTACGCTGTAAGATAATAGATGTCTGTTCTCTTAGTCCTGTTGTAAAAGATAGTGTTATATTTTCTATATGAAGGAGAGGAGGTGTGTGGGGGTGTCGCTGCTTTGCTCCTGTTCACTCTGCAGAACACTGCTCACCTTCATGTGGAGTCACACATCTGATTTTATACCTGAGACACCATATTGATATAGCAACCATATTGTAGATTTTTGATAAATAATCATCTGTGATGTGGATATAATGACCTAGTGGGTAAAGAAACATAATCAAAAATATAAAATCAGCCTGTAATGCAGCCTTTCAAATCAGGAAAGTACGTTAATTACAATATTAGGATTTTAAATATTCCAAATCTATTCTCATGATATCTGAATGATATCCATAAACTGCCCAGACATATTTAGAGGTTTGATAACATGTCAAGTGCTGGGGTGTTCTCTGGTGTTACAGTGGAGGTGTGTGTTGACGGAGGGTCCCTGCCAAGCAGAATGGAACATTCCGTCACAGTCACATGATAGTCCAGCTCTGACAGCCTCTGACCTGCTGAGATCAGACAGCGGTTTGTCACTTCCTGTAGAGGGCAGACTCGGTGTCAGTACAAAGGTTTAGTTGAGCTGAAAACAGATGATGTCCAAACTGTGAGAACAGATTTAGCGCTCTAAACGGAGACAAGTCACTCCCACTGCTGCCACATTCTTCATCACATTCTTTAAACACCTCACATTTGACTGGTACTTTCTTTCTGCAAAAATATGATCGCTTGACATTTCAACATGTTCGCTAGCTATGAAGATGTTTAATAGACTAAGAAACATATTTATGATAAGCAAAATGTTAATAGGCATGACATCATTTGAAATTGGCTGAAATTGAAACAAAACTAAACGGAGACACTTGTGTAAAATAAAGTACACATTGAAGTTCAGACACATTCTTTTTTTTTTTTTTAATAAAAGCTACAAATGGGCTTTTTTCAGTAGAAAGAGGATATGGTAGTATGTCAAAAAACATAGTGCCTTCTAGTTTGATCAGATAAATACCTTATCAAATGCAGTTGATAACTACCTGATACTGAACGCTTCATACTGCCTCAGCTAGACTTTCATTCAGAGTGAAAAACATGTCTCCAATATGTTTTATCATCGAGGCTGTGAGTGGCAGTAGAAGTGATTTGACTTTGATCTAAATCCAGAAGGTCCTTCTTCAGTTTGATGGAGATGGCCTGATCTCCTCTGAGCCTCTATGATCACATGTTTCATAAGCACTGCTTTCAAACACAACAAAAGTCAGTGATTTATATTTCATTAGCGTTATCCAAGTTCAAGTTTACTCTCCCATCATCTCTGGAGCTTTCTGGGTAAATGCAGTTTGATTTAGCAGTGCTCCTTAACCAGCAAAGATTCAAACAGAGAAACATTTTCTTTCTTTATTGTAAAATGTCAGAAAAGGAATAACACTACTGAACAAAGGCAGAGGACCGTCACCAGTATACAGAGTTGGAGGACGGGCTGATTCCAACTTTAGGAATGTTTCCTGTGCAGAGTGATATGTTACACACAGTGTTTAGCACATGGGGAAATGCTTCTGTCAGTTGTCAGACCAAAACTAAAATGAAAAAACGATGTGAAGGGCATCCTGAAACTGAAGATGTACATACAGAGGAAACCTTCAGACAAAGAGAAAGTTCGTTTTTTTCAGATTTTGTTCCATCTTAAAAAGGACATGGATTTCTCAGTGAGCACCTTTTTGCTTCTGCCTGGTCACTGGGTTATCATACTTGGAAGGACATACTGTAATGACTGAAAACTAAAATAAATCAAGTGTATTCCTCAGATTATATCAGGAGACATTGAGAGAAAATATCTGAAATTGATCAGTTAATCTTTGCAATAATGTTCGATTTTTGAGTCACAAATACAGAATGTTAGAAGACCTTCTCAGCGCCCCAAAGCTCCATCAAAAGATTGAGTGGTTGATTTAGTAACTGGGATAACTGGAACGTACTGGCCCTGCTGTCTCACTCAGAGAAATTGACAAAACAAAATGTGCAGATGGCTGGAGATTTGAGGGGCCTCTTCATTAAATGTCTAAATGTTCTTTCAGGTACTTTCCTGTGAATGCTCAGGTGTTTTGGGACCTCCTTTTGGGGAAAGTCCAAATCCATTAAATAAATACTCTTCGTACAGGGACTCATTACCTGCTAACTTGTTTGATAACGTGTTGTTCTGAAGATCCCATTGCACATACATGTCTAGATTACATTTCTTAGATTTTAAACAGAGTGTATTGGAAAACCCTCCTTAAGGCAGAAGCACATTATTGTATCATCACAAATATTTCTTATAATTGATGAGCTCAGTTAGACTCAGAAAAAACGTTTTAAATATAGATTCAGAACCAATATTCAATCTGTTACACCGGATATGTTTTTGTCCTGGTGGAGAGTTTGTGACAGCATTTGGACACCAGTGATAAAACCCTCTGAGAACTCTTAAAGGCAAGATGAACCCCCCCCCACCTGTTAGAGCAGGATGGGGAGAGTAGTGTGTGTTCATGCCCCCTGCCCCACATAATTCCACTGAACCCGGTGTGACTGTGTTGGCACTGTGGCAAAATCTGTTGCTTTTCAAATGTTCAGACCCAGTGCCGTGATTCAGGGGCTCCACTGAACGTGAAGGTGGCTCCTTGCATTTCTCTGTTGTACTGTTACTGTAGTATTGCTGTAACATAAATGTTTTCTAAGTTATTAAAAACCAACACCCAAGGCATCTCCTCAAAAGCTCACTGTGTCGGTGCCTTATTTTCATTCCTGAAATGATTTTTTACAAGAAATGTATTTAAATCCTAAAAGCATTGAAGTGGATGTTTCTGCTGTGAAGAAGTCCCAGCTGAGCTGCTGAAATAGGGATGAAGGTTTTATGTTTCAAGTTATTTTTGTAATACTGTACAACTAAGTTTTAAAATGCGAATTTGAACCATGGTCTTTGGAGATAACAACCTAGTGTAGTGATGTTGCTAAACAGAAATGTAATTGAATCATATTTTTTTACATATAAACATGTATACATTAAATGTATTTCTCTGTAAATAATGACTACATCAAGTTTTATTATTTTAATTTAACTTGTTTTTTGTACGTATTTATTAATTTAGAGTTACTTGTAATTGTGTTGTGTAAAGTACATGTTAAAGTATCACCGAACTTCACGGTTGTTTTACTTGTCTGCCCTCTAGTGGCTACAGTGAGACACTACATATACCATTTGCGTCAAGAGCATACAATTACACATAAGCACATCCCGTTGAAACCATATGGTTGAAATCTACAAAATAAAATGATATAATCGCCATGTTTTAATAGGTAAAATTGCATGCAATCATTAATTAAGTTATAAATATTAGTTATTTTACCATTAAAGCATATATGACACATATATGTCACATTTCAGATATTTGACACTAGGGGGAGTTACTTGTCAGAAATGTGTTCTAGGTGGTCTATTTAGTCTAAATTATGTTTCCCTTAAAAGGTAGGGTAGGTAAGAATGGAGAAACCAGCTCGAGTGCGCTAGAATTTGAAAGTACACAACCGGAAAAAATATGCCCCTTCCTTCAGACTTCCTTACAGAGCCCCTCCTCCAACACACACGAACGCGCACATGACCAATGAGGGCACGAGATAAGTTTGTGCACAGATGGAAGGCAGAGCATTCCATGGAATATAACAAAAAGTATTTCTGAAGTGAATTACCTACCCTACCTTTAATTTCCCCAAAAGTAGAAATGGGTCCGGGTTCTTATGGGTTAAGTTTAACAAAAAAAAAAACAGAAAATAAGGAAAAGGCTGATAAGTAAAACGTGAAGAACTCAACATTTCTCGAGTCTTATCTGGAACCTAAGTGAATTAAACTAGATATTCATACCGTACAAAGATGTCCGTTAGTAACCTTGTACATACAATGTTTTTACGGAGCATGGCTTCAGGAATAGGGATGTTACGTAAAACAGACGTAACCATCAATTTAACCCAACCACGCTTTGTTCGCGGGAGTCACGTGATTATTGTTTTTTTGACGTATTGCTTGGACTTATATTGCCGCGATATTTCAGCTTCGAAAGGTCGACAGCGAGGAGCAACGAGTTCTTCAACAATTTCCTTAAGGTGTGTTTTCAGACTGTCCGCCCCGGTGTCCTGCTCTCCGGAGGCCTCGGCCTGGTTCAGCTAATCCCAGAGAAGAACCGCATAGCTCGCAGTTTATCCGCATCCAGCTCACACAAGTTATACGGGGTACATCAGCAAGCTTTTGTGGCACGAAATAGAACACACAGCTTCTTGCTGTCACCAGGGTCCTGTGTCTCTACCCTCTTGCACACGTTAACGATGGTTCTGCTGAAAGACCTCCATCCTCCCACCGAGGGAGTGCGGCACGAGCAAGCCGAGACCACGGCGGTGATGGACGGCCAGAAGCTGGGCTGCGGCACGCTGTACGTCGCAGAAACGTAAGTGATGCACGTGGCGCTTGTTTTTGTCTTTACAACACCAGTGTTAGTTTATGTTCGGTGTTGAATCTTAATTGTTGTTAGAGTTAAATACATGAATTGTGTTCAAATAAACCAATAAACAGCATAGAACGTTTAAAAACAGATGCTCCACTCGGCGTGCTAGCCACTTCCGGAGTAGTCACTTTCAAAATAATAATTACAAATGTATTTGATGACATCATTTGTCACCCAAAAAGTACAGTGGTGAAAAAGTTAGAAACACTTTATTTTATAAAGTCTTGCAAATCTGTAGCAGATACACAAACGAGTTGCTTGTAGGATGTGTAACAGGTAGAGATGAAAGGATCTATCTAATACTAGATTAGTCAATCAGAATATTAATAACTATTTTCATAGTCAGATTTTCGGTTCACGTTTCAATGTCAGATCGGTTCTCAAATCTGAGGATTTAATTGATTTTATTTTGTGATATTAATATGAGTGAATACAAATTGGTTATACATAATTATAATTGTCTTGAAAAAGCACTTTTTTTGCAATAGTTGGTAATTGATTTATAAAAAATAGTGTAGTTGCAGCCCTGCAGTCAGGTTGTTTTTATTTGAACATAAGACCGAAGCTGCTTTCAGATACTGACTCTCACTTAGCCTGATTTTCCATTCCAAGTCACTTCCTGAAATTGGGATTAATGTTCCCACGGTCTGTAAAACTTGTTCTGGATGCCCTGGAAGTACCATTAAATGTACCTTAATGAAATTATGTACCTTTTTATTCGATGTGTGTGGACACTATGTGAAGCATCAGCTGTTAGATGTGTGTGTCTTTTGGCAGGCAGCTGTCATGGTTCGATGGCTCGGGGCTGGGATTCTTTCTGGATTATCCCAACATCGGCCTGCATGCCATCTCCAGAGACGTCAGCGCTTACCCACAGGAGCACCTGTACGTCATGGTCAACGGCAAGATCAAAGGTGAGAGAAACACACGGGATGCAATCAATGTTCGGAGGATCATTCACAAAACTGTATTTTAACCATGTGTGTCACCTTCTGTCCTGGCAGGGGAGAATGTGGTAGAAATGGCAGAGAAAGCCGGGGATGACGACGAAGAAGACAACAGCAGTGACAGTGGTGATGAAGACGAAGAAGGAGTGATCACAGAGATCCGATTTGTGCCCAGCGACAAGGTGGCATGTGAGTGACCCCGCTGAGCCTGAGGGCCACACTGAGTCTGAGGGCCACACTGATGCTCTCCCTTTTTATGAAATATTTCTTTTTTTTACAGCCTAGGCCTCTGCCATGTTTTAATTCTGATCTGTTTTGGTTGTTTTTTTAACTTAGTTTTTTATTATTATTTATTATGTCTATACTTTATTCCATCAAAAACACAGATCATTAGATAAATGTTAAAGTGACTGTTTTAACATGTTGTTGTAAATGCGATAGGGCTGTACCCGAATACTCGGTCGTTGGCCTACTATTCGGTTTTCAATTTCGTTATTCGGATATTCGTTTTTTTTATTTAGCACTGCGGCTGGCAAATTGAATTGTTTGAAATCTCCAATATCTTGTGCCTCTTCGGGGGGTGCTAACACTTTACCATAAACGTTATCGTTTACTTTCTCCGTCTTTATATGTAGATTACTTTTCTCCGTTAATCTCCGCTCCTTTTCACGTTGTTTCCATAGCAACAGCGCTAACTCTCCTTCAAAATAAAAGCATGTCCATACAAAATAGGAAGCCAAGCCAAATTACACTTAAAGGGGACCTATCATGCAAAATGCACTTTTGTACGTCTTTTATACATGAATATGTGTCCCCGGTGTTCCAGGGAACTCACCAAGTGTCAGAAAACACAACCCTCTCTATTTTCCTCCATACCCAAATCTCTAAAAAAGGGGCTGCAACGGATCTGATCAAAACTGATCCAGATTTGAACACTGTCCTGACGTCAGGACAGTGGCGCTACGGCTATTGGGCCAACTCCACCAATCAGGAGGAGACAGCCACGGCCATTGCCGTTCGAAAGCGCTGGAGACGCTGTAGTACATATGCCAGGCCTGTAGATGGTGCTGTTCTCACTGAATCTGCCCTTGCTAAAACAGAGCTAGAAATGGTCAAATTGAGCAAAATGAGGCATGGCTAAAATGCATGATCTGTTTGGTATTTTGAAAAAAAAAAAAGTATAAATATGCCTCATATAGGTATGGTCCTACACTATATTATTATAATATAGCATGATAGGTCCACTTTAAGACATATATACAACTGCAACGAAAGTAACAAACACAATATCCTTTTCAATTTCAAAGAACACAAATTGGGTTATATACATTAACAAATAACTATAAAACAACAATACTGTAGAATAACAAAATGAATGCCTTGAATAAACCAAAAAACACGAGTTGAAGGACGCGCCGAATATTCGCTGCTGATTACTACCCGCCCCCCCCCCCCCCCGCACGCCGAACTGAATATTAGTGTCTTGAATCTAAATAGTTTCTTTTATTAAAAAAAGGAACATGTTTTGTCTCTTTTGATGCATGCATATAGCGTTTAAATGTACACAACATCAAAGGGGTGCTGTAGTTTCGTTATATTTTTCAGCAGTATTGTGGTAGAATATACATTTTAAGAATATTATTATAAGTCAAATATATGTAACCCAGGAAATATAACATAGTGACAGTGTTGACACTGACTTACACATTCCTAAATTGACTAATGCTACTAATGTTGCATCTTTTATGATATGTTGGTCTGCATGCAGTGGAGTCCATGTTTTCAGCCATGTGTGAGTGCCAGGCGCTGCACCCCGACCCCGAGGACAACGACTCCGACAACGACTTCGAAGGAGAGGAGTACGATGTGGAGGAAGCCGGTGAGGTCACTCACTCACTCACTCACTCACTCACTCACTCACTCACTCACTCACTCTAACATTATCAGTCTGTTTAAAATATGACATTAACGTCACAATTCTATTATCAAGGTGCCCTCAGATTCGATAGAAAAACACTTTTGGTCCAATATAAATGATCAGTATATGATGCAATAATGCAACATTATATAACATATATATCATATATGACATAAAACAAATAAAGAAACAATGAAAATATGGCAAGCTCAGGTGTTAAATAGTCTTCTGGCCTGTGCGATGAAACTGTCTCTGAATCTGGTGGTTTTAGTCCGGATGCTGCGGTACTGCCTGCCAGACGGCAGCAGACAGAACAGTTTGTTGCTGGGGTGATGGGGGGTCTTTTATAATCCTAAGGGCTTTCTTCCTGAGCCGCTGGGAGTAAAGGTCCTCCATGGATGGCAGCTCCGTCCTGGTGATGTTCTGTGCAGTTTTCACCACCCTCTGTAAAGCCTTACGGTTGAGGTCGGTGCAGCTGCCGTACCAGGCCGTGATGCATGTAAAGTGCAGTAAAAGCCATCCGGCCGTATGGACACAGCTCTAGGCTCAGTCACAGTTTCAGTGTCCACTGCAAAGATTTCAGCAGCAGAGCACCTCATGATAAACACAGTTTCAGTGCACAGGCCCCAGGGCCCTACAACATAAAGGGGACCCAAGGATTGTGTGGGTGTGTGCGCCCATTATGTGAAAAGGGGATGGATATAAAACTACAGGGTGCTCATCTGTTCCCTTTAGGTTCTGTGGTTTCTGTAAGGCACGAACCGACTCTTTAATGCTGCTGACTGAATAACGTGTTCTCATTTATCTTTTCTTTGTCTCTTTTGTCACTCTTTGTCTCCCTGCTCGTCTGGACCCGGGCTGCAGAAGCAGGTTAGACATCCAGCATGCATCACTGCATCTTTACACAACCCACGTCTTCTGTTGAGCCTTTACAACGACACTTGTGTATGTTCGAAATCAAAACGCTCAGGGACTTATTGACAGCGTTGTTTGATTGGTGTTTTCTAAATAGTTGTTCTTGTTGTTTTGTAAGGAGCCCAGGATCAGGGACAACTGTGGAAGCTAGTGGGGATATAAATACAAAATATTAACTAACACTTTACAAAAGAAAAACACTTTGTACAAACACTTATAAATGTACATGACAAAATAGTTAATCACAGTTGTACTAATGTACAGTGTCTTCATACTGTAAATGACTAAATACAGACAATGTATTTATAGCTCTGTAAAACTACCTTAAAGTGTCTTATAAATCATGTATTTAATGTTAGCATAATGCTAATAGATGCTAAACAGGGTTCTAGTAAAGACAACTGCTCCTTGCTCCCCCCCCCCAGAGCACGGCCACGGTGACGTCCCCACCTTCTACACCTGTGACGAGGGTCTCTCCGCGCTGACGACGGAGGGCCAGGCCACGCTGGAGCGGCTGGAGGGGATGCTGGCCCAGTCTGTGGCCCAGCAGTACCACATGGCCGGGGTCCGCACCGAACCACCCAACGCAGAATTTGAAGGTTTGAGTCAACCTCGCATACTGAAATTACAAATATGAATCATATTGATAATAGATACAAATTGGATTCAAATATGCTTTATCCAAACTGAATGATTACTGCAAATATACTGGAACAGCTGGTAATGTGACCTCTATTCTGGTTAAGTGAAGGAACTCTCATAAAAACTTGTACTTCTTATCAGGATGGGTTTCCTCAGGCTGTGTTCAAGTAGTCTTTGTTTTGCTTAGAAAGGAGGACCATCGGTATTAAGTACGATACGATGATACTTTATTGGTCAGATGAAGTCTGAAATTTGACTTGCATCACAGCAAAAATAGGAAAAAGGAAAGGAGCGTTATTGTTTCCTTTCTTATCTTCTATATATATATATATATATATAGATATATATATATATATATATATATATATATATATATATATATATATATATATATATATATATATATATATATATATATATATATATATATATATATATATATATATCTATATATATATATATATATATATATATATAGTGACAGTTTTCCTCTGGAATATTCACTATATATATATATATATATATATATATATATATATATATAGTGACAGTTTTCCTCTGGAATATTCACTAGAATTCACCAGCATGAGTCTTTCTCTGTCCTCGACTCATTTTTATGTCTTATAAATGAAGTTGCAAAACAAACCGCTTGTGAAGTCTCAATCTCTTCAAGGTGGTGAGGATAAAGACGTTTACCCAGCTGTAGTTAAAAAAATAAATACAATGTGGATGGGGTATAAATTATCAAAATAAAAAGATTATTTGTGATTCGATAATACATACACTAGAGTCTCCATGTATATCTGTAGAAAAGTAAATCTCTAAATTCCTTTTTCAAAGTAAAAGTGTTTTTCTGTGGACAGAATCCCTTCATCTGTTAACAGAAGCTCTTTGTTCTGAAATATGTGCAGGACAGTGTCGTGGAAAATCACTGGCACGGCTCCATAAATCATGTCATTAGTTGTTTTGCAAATGACCAAACGTGTTCCTAAATCACATTTATAGTGAAATTTTAAATTAAACTTCTCAAGAGGGAGCCGTTTCCAACAGTCTATACCATGTTTTAAATCAATAAAAACTGCTGAGACATTTATGTTTAATTTAGCATGTCAGTGCTTTGGTCCTAAAACTGCATCTGGTTATGTTGAGCTGGGACTATACTCTAGGACGTTTTTTAAATTGTATTTAATGTACTAGCCAACCCAGCAGGTCACAGAGAGTGAGGTCAAAGATTTGAAAAAACTTATCTGATGTGTATTTCTATTTTTATAAAGAATATGATGGAGAAAGTTACGAGTATTAAGGCTTATTGTGTTCTGCTGTGCAAATGAAAACCCAGCAGCTGGTCTTTTCAAGGTTTAGTTTATGCTGTTAAACTGCAGTGTGTGTTGACAGACGGTATGGAGGTGGAGGCAGCGGCGATGGAGGCGGGGCAGTTTGAGGACGCAGACGTGGAGCACTGGTAACATTATATTGTTTTACAACCGCCAAAACATCTTTGTAAATACATTTGAATAATGAGATCGTAGAGGGAGTGAATCATCCATTTGTTATCTCACACTCTGTAGATCTCATCTCAGCGGACATTCAAAGCTCCAGTGTTGCATCATGGGATTGGAGAGGCGGACAGCAGCACTTCTTTAAGGCTCTCAGCACTTACTCACTCTCTTGTTTAACAGAACTTCTCCTTCCTACTCAGTCATCTCACTAATCTTTGTAGCATCCTTTATTTCCTCCCATGCGTTTTGATGCATTGCTTAGTAGCTCACGCGTCATGTGTTGTGCTTCTTCACATTTTCTAATTTGTTCAAGTCGTATGAGTTTATCTTTGTTATACGACCAAGGCATCTACTGAGATGCAGACCCAAACGCCCAAATCATGCTGTAAAAAAAGCTGAAAAAAACCCAACGTTCTGTTTTGTATAACAATTTAATTTCAGATTTTCCTACGGAGGAAATTATTGTCTTTATACAAAATTGTCAATAAATGCATAGTTTTTGTATGAGTTTTTTTGCTTCATTTATTAATGTAAGGTTTGAATTGTAATTTTAGTGCACAATTATTGCGGGTGGAGTATTTTGAGAATATTTTGATGCATTATATATATACTGTATATTGTTTTATATAGAAGATGTATTAAATAATTAAAGTTAAAGGAAACCTATCATGCTATATTTAAATGATATATTGTAGGGCCGTATATTTATAAGTTTCTGTTTTCAAAATACCAAACAGATCATGCATTTTAGCCATGCCTCATTTCGCTCTATGTGCTGTTTGCTGTCTACGGGTCTGATTCTGCTGACCACGCCCCCCTGCAGGAGAGGGGAGACGTGCTCTGATCAGCTGCTGGGCTGTCAGAAGAGGGGGAGAAAAAAAGATCTCCGTCCTCCTGTTTTATTATATAGAGTCGTTATTCATTTGTTTTAAAGCTCAATAAATAACAAAGACGACCTTTGACCGGCACTTTTCTAATTTTGTCCGGAAGATTTAAACTTTAACGGACATCTTGACCGGCGAAACAAACTGAAACTGAAACTCTGCCGCACGGTCCCCTCGTTCCTTGGAAGAGGCGGAGAGGTGGGTGTTTGTCATCTGCTGGTGGACTAACCGGAGAGAATTACAGTGCTTGCCTCGACGGGGAGGGATTGCATTGAATTAAAGCAGCAGGAGCAAACGCTTGCCTCGGGGAGGGAGAAAAAGAGCCACAGCGGAGAATAAACAGAAGGGTAACCATGGTAACCAAGTCTTCTTCGCTGCTTTTGTGGCAGACTACAGCTCCACTTACAGGCCTGGCATATGTACTACAGCGTCTCCAGCGCTTTCGAACGGCAATGGCCGTGGCTGTCTCCTCCTGATTGGTGGAGTTGGCCCAATAGCCGTAGCGCCACCGTTCTGATGTCAGGACAGTGTTCAAATCTGGATCAGCTTTTATCAGATCCGTTGCAGCCCCTTTTTTAGAGATTTGGGTATGGAGGAAAATAGAGAGGGTTGTGTTTTCTGACACTTGGGCCCTTTCTCATGTCATCAAATGTCCCATCCTCGACTCCTCGACTCCTCGGTCCTCCGGTAGTGACCCGGAAATAAATTTTAGCGGACATCTCATTTCTCGAAATGCACATCGAGGACCGAGCATCGAGCGTCGAGGAGGCTCTCTGGAGGAGCTATAACCGAGGATACACTGATGGGTCCTCCACGGCTCCTTCGTGGATGCATTTCCGGCAACAGTGATGTTTCAAAGAGTCGAGACGCACGGCCGGACTTATCTCAGCCAATGACAGCTCTGCATGCATCCCCTGGATATTATTTTATTAACTGCTTTCATCGCGACGCGATGTTTACAGTGAGAACAGCTGTGAGGTCCGTGCAGAAAGCAGAGCAGTGTGTATAATCATGGGCGTAGGAAGCATCCTGCATGTGGGGGGGACATTTTTAACGGGGGGTGTGGGGGCGAAAAAAAATATAGATTTCCTGTATTCTGGTGCATTTTAACAGGTGGTTTGATACTTTTATGTGGCTATACTAGCATGAGGAAAATGATGGGTACATTTTGTAATTTCAGTAGTAAAGAAAGGAAACATATTTGATTATTAATTCAGAGCTGTCTTTGAATTAATAAAAAGCAGTTTAAATGCCCATTTTTTGTACATTTATATACAACAATAAATATTTGTGAGTGCATTGAGAGATATTGTTGTGGAGAGTCATTTATATATAAATCGCAAAATACATTTGTGAATCCTTCTGTGAGCATTTATTAATATTGAGACTGATCTGACTCCATACGGATGTTAAGTTCACCTAGGAATGGTATCATTGACTTAAATGTTGCTCTTCTGTCTATATTGGTAATATGATGCCCCTTGACTGAAATGTTTCCTGTTCAATATCCCCACTGATTTCCTTAAAATCCTGGGATGAGAGTCCACATCACAATTTACTCTCAACTGTCATTTCCCTTTCATCACTCACCTCAGCAATGGACCTCTCTCCACTGTCCCTGTATTCTGCCTCTGACTCACTCTCAAGTGCCTAGATGTCAAGAGAGGTGGTGAAGTGATAATAAATACTGATAAATACTAGTAACCTGGCATTTCGATGCCTTTTCTCATCTAAACTATTCAGTATTTGTATCTCTCTATCATGACATAAAGACGAAACTCCTCTCCAGAAGTGAGACACCGCCATCACTGTTAACTGATTAACTGCTACCAGCTGATGACTTACTTTCCTCTTCTTTGAAAAAAATGTTCTTATGTCCATGTTGTCTGGGGGAGAAAACATATCAAACCAAGAGATCGTCAGCTTTGATTTTCGCTGTATTAACCATTTCCTGAACATTTGGTGTGTGTGCCTTACCTCCGCTACCGGCATCGCTTCATACAACAGATCTGAGCTGTCCAACTATGACATCACTCCTTGAACATGCGCGCGCTATGTGAGAATCTGCCTTGGTACAAAGTAGCAGTGAAAACATGGAACGGAGTTTCATTGATTTGGGCATTCTCTCAATAAGCAAGTGGAATGGATTTCATTTGATAGTGAAGCACTGACACAGCGCTCGACAAAGTGCAGCGAGTGGATAGACCGATTCACGGACTTTCCGCATAGTAAAAGTGGGGGGGTCTAAACTAATCATTTGAAAAAGTGGGGGGGACTTGTCCGACCCTCATATAATGGCTGCGACGCCCATGTGTATAATATATATCATATCACTCAGTATAATAGTGATGGGAATTCCGGCTCTTCTTGGTGAGCCGGATCATTTGGCTCGGCTCACCAAGAAGAGCCGGCTCTTTCGGCTCCCAAACGGCTCTTCAGTTTACTACATATTATACCTTTTATAATTCAATCAAATGTAGCCCTGTTTTGACTCATGATTTATATGTGTACACATATCACTTACATTATTCAATACATCCTTTGTACTGAAGTATTCAAAAGTAAAAATTACATGTTTAATATCAATTATTTGCTGTGGCCAGTTTTCATTGCATTTACAGACCCTTGTATCTCTCTGATACCACCCAATGAATGCACTGACTTGCTTGAACCACGCTACACAAAGCAGATAGCAACACCTATAAAAAACCCGAGGTGACAGGGCTTTCAGTGTTGCAGCTCCTAGACTGTGGAACAGCCTCCCAGTACATATCCGGACTGCTGAGTCTATTGAACTTTTTAAATCTCAGCTAAAAACTCACCTCTTTGCACTGGCTTTTAATACTAGTTGAACATTACATTTTTACATTTGTATGTGTTTTTTTTAAATATTTTTCTAGTTATTGTGCTTTTTATCATGTTTTTAATTATTGTTTTATTATTGTACTCCCATTGTGTTATTTAATATGTATTGCCTGTACAGCACTTTGGTCAACTGAAGGTTGTTTTAAATGTGCTATATAAATAAATAAAGATTGAGATTGAGATAAAAACTTAAGCATAGACATTTAAATAAAGGGGCTACTGTATCGACATTTTAAAATTATATTTAAAGAAAAGGCCCTGACTAAACAGCAGGGCTCTATTTCAGTATTAACTATAGAAAAAAAGACAGCAACAGCTGACATCAAATCTTTGCTGAGCCCAAGGATAATCATAAATAAATGACATAGTGAAAATAAATATATTGCAATGCTCAGTACAGCAGCATCCAACAGTCTCTAATCCTTGGATATTACATGTCACTGCATGCATGCACGGAGCAGCTGTAGCGCGGAGATCATCATATCATTCTGTCTTGTATTACTTAACAACAAAATAACAAAAAAAAACGGCTCGTTCGCGGGCGCGAGCCGGCTCCCGTCGTTCACTTAAAAGAGCCGGCTCTTCGAGCCGGCTCGTTCGCGACCGACACATCACTACAGTATAACAGGCCTACTCTCTTTATTTGCTTTAGTTTAGTAGATATCTACAAACAAAGTCGATATTTTTCTAAAACCATTTAGTGCTTCACATAATAAAATACACAACGGCTGTAGCCTGATGATATGCTTTAGGAGCTGTAGGTGCGTGTGTGTGTGGTGTAGGTGTGTGTGGTACAGTGTGTGCGTAGATGCAGCGGACAGACAGGTCTCAGTTGGTTTGGTGTCCTCTGCTTACTTGTAATACTTGTAAATAAAACTTTTGGCCCGTCATTTATTTCCCTCATTGTAGCGACCAGAGAGGGGGGGGGGGGATATATCCAGTCTCTGATAGTGTTACGTTATTATGAGAGTGCTCTGTTTGATTCTGAAATTGTATATATTTATATAAATATATACATATATGTGTGTGTGTGTGTGTGTGTGTGTGTGTGTGTGTGTGTGTGTGTGTGTGTGTGTGTGTGTGTGTGTGTGTGTGTGTCTGTGTGTATGTCCGCATCTGTAGCCTGTTATTGTCTCATTATACCGCACTGTGAATGAATTAAAAGTAAATATATAAGTCGTCATGAACACATCTGTCCATCAGACAGAGGGCTGCTGTGCCTCCTGTCATCATTAATGGACGTCTCTTTAAAATGACCGCTCAGAGGAGAGGAGTTCTCATTTCTCTAACCGCCTGCTGCTTCCCCTCCTCTCTCCTCGGTTCCCCTCCTCGGCTCCTCCGCTCGCATCTCCTGTGGGCGGGACTAAGTCTCGAGGATAGGAGTCGAGGAGGGGAGTCGAGGAGGAACATTTGAAGACATGAGAAAGGGCCCCGGTGAGTTCCCTGGAACACCGGGGACCAGTGGCGGCCGGTGGTCTTTTTTTTTGGTTGTGGTCTTGACGTACCGTAATTGACCTACCCGGGGGGTCCGGGGGGTTTCCCCCCGGAATTTTTTTTCGAGAAATGACCCCTTAAATGATGACTTCTGGTGATGTTAGAGGGGGGGGGAAAGGAGAAATCGAGGCTTAAAAATATGAGAAGACTGATCAATACCTCCATAATCTTCAGTGTGGAAAATATTATTTATCAACCTGAACATCTACTACTTTACCAGGAATTTGTGTTCTCAGAACTGGTCTGTTTTTTTCTTTCTTAAAA